AGTTATATTTAGTTCTCTAACACGTATAGATATAGACTATATATATATCCAGTTATAATTAGATACCTATTTATAAGTAAAACCAATTATGAGAAGACTGATATTCTATAATTAAGAAGGAATTGGTTTACATGACTGGTGAATGAAAGTTGGTGCATCTGACAATGTAACATGTTTGTGCAATAGATTAAGTGAGCAGGTTAAGAGTACCCAGTACATTGGGCAATATTATTTTACATACTCTCAGACTAGAGGACTGACTATTTTGAACCTAGATAGTTGATACAGATTAACTGTGTTCATGAGATATCATGATGCAACATCATTCTGACAACATACTCTACAATTATACTTATGTATGTAAGGTGTATTCAATGTTTACAAGCAGGCATATTCTATGGTTGACTCTGCATGCTTGAGTAGTTATGAAATGGCTGTGTATTGAAATGAAAATTGAATTGTATATGACATTTAAACCACCATATCAACTGGATATTGGTCTATAATATACCAGGCAACCCCATGGGTAGATGACCCCATAAACCGTGGTCTATTCATGGTGAGATCACCCTACTGTATATTGGTAATGATGTATAACATAGTGTACATATATACACTCGGTATATGGCAACTTGGTGACATTGTGGAATGTTGACAACACTATCAGTTACTCTGGCATATACGGACTTGGACTCCGAGTTCCAGTCTGATCCTAAGCATACAGTGGAGGTGAGATTAGGGATTACCAGGACAAAATTTGTGAATATTGATGTGTTGTGAGGGTGAGAATTTCATTTATATTTTCCCCACTCCACCAATATAATCTGTCGGGTGGGGTGGCCTAGTGGTTAAAGCATTTGCTTGTTAAGCTGAAGACACAAGTTGGTTTACCAATATGGGTACAATGTGTGAAGCCCATTTCCGGTGGCCGCCAACATGATATTACTGGAATATTGCTAAAGGCGTAAAACCATACACACTCACTATTGGTTAATGGGCTAATTGTAATAGTTATTTTATGAGTGTTTCACATGATCATGGGAATGTGTTTGCTCACTTTTTGTTTCCTTTTTATCTACTTTTTTAATGTATACCTCTCAGCAAGTAGTTGGGTGTAATACAATAGTGCATGTTAGTGGGTGAACAGGGAAACATACTAATCTAAGTATTTTGATAATCTTCTAACCACAGTCATGAATAAAATACAAGTGAATCTGTAGCAAATGATCAGGGTAAACCAGCAATGTAACTTTATGTTTGTTTGTCTCGTATGTTTGCTTACATCAGCTGAAAAAAATAGCCCACCCAATAATTTACTACTATTCCTTGATTGGCTGAAAATATAGTAGACAGGGCTTATGTTGTGTTACTCCACTGAGGAATATTCTTGATTTTATACCATTGTCTACAGACGAGTTTTAGTGTTACTAAGTTAATAAAGCAGCCTGTGAAGGTATTGTTGACATATTTATTTGTGAGTAAGTTAGGATTTGTAGTCACATCAACAGTATCTTAGCCACGCCATGACTAAAGCAAGTTACACATTCATGTTACATAAACTTAAATTATAAAAACTTGTCCACAAAGGACATTTAAAACAACTGGAATATCACAGATTAAATGTAAAACAAGCATATCAATCTAAAGATATTTTACTATTTAAGACAATACAATATATAAACAGGCTATAGATCACCATTTGTAAGGAAGGAGATGTAATTTTTGAATCTCAGGGTAGACACCTCTTGTAGGTAACAACATGGTTTTTTAAATCCTTTGCTATGATAAGTTGTCGTGCCAGCGTTACAGAATGTTTTCTGTGGATCAAGCCCAAGGGCTTACTTACTGTACAGCAGAATCTGGAGGATTGATCTGTTATCTAATCTACTTCACGATGCAGTTGTATTGTGTTAAGTGTAGGCCTGGGTCCGGCTGTCTGATCTCCTAGTGCAGAAATCACTCTTATAATACCTGGTTTCATGTACATAATCCTCTTTGTAGACTCACAGGCAGATGTCTTGCTTTCCTTAATCTTTCTGAGAAAATGACGTGCTTAGCTCATGTTATAATCCCCCCGTGTTGATGCCGAAATAAGCAGAAAAGAAGGACTATCGACTGTCTTAATCTGATAACCACGGTTCAGTAGCTGTTCCACGGACTCGTCTGAACGGTATTCTGACCCTTACCCGATCCTCTTTGACTTAAAGGAATCGTTTATCAAAGAAAACAAACATAATAGATATGTAATCATCGGCTGTAGGTAGGGTCGTACGCTTACATACAGGTGTATTCACGTTGTGTACACAGATATATCAGCTGCCAGTGCCTTTTGTAGGACGTGAATTAGGGTTGACCTGACTGTGGAATGTGGTTGGATCTGAAACTCTATGCCTACTATATGGAGGAATTTGGTTTGACAGCCAGGTCATTTGGACTGACATTGGATTACAGATAGATTGTGCCATGTTATACAAGGTCGTTACTATGATGTGGTGATAGTGTCTGCACCAGGTAGGTGTGTGTTTGAGGGGGAGGGGAGGGCTGGGGGGGTTGAGAGTACCACTTGTAGTCAGTAGAAACTCTGCCACCTCATATATTGATACCCTGTGGGGACAGTCACTGTCTGTCTGTCTGTCTGTTTGTCCGTCCGTCCGTGTTCACAAATAGCGTCTGACCCTCTGACAAATCCGGCAGATTCGCCAACGGTCAGACAGAAGTTTACAACCTGCCGACCCCAGTGTCTGACTGTATATTTCATAATGACTTTGACTGAGGTTGTTTTATGTGACATGTGACACTTGTTTGCTGTTTATAAATCTTATGTTTGTTAATAATTTCAATGTCAATTATAAGAAATATTAAATCTGAAATGTGTGTATAATTTTATTCCATGGGTCCTGTGCATTTTCAATGGGTCAGACAGACATCTGAAACTTACATCCTGTGACTTTGAAACACCATTCGTGAACACTGGTCCGTCCTTCCGTTTATTCGTGAAAGGGGTTAGTGCTTGTAGTACTGGTAGTTTGGAGGGATTGCACGTTAGATGAAACATTGATGGAATCAGCATGAGTTCGCTTGATTGTGAAGCAGTGTATGCCCTAAGGCCTTAACCCTGAAAAGCAGCAGGCCCTAAAGACCCAGAACCATAATAAGTTGTGGGTCCTGATCAGAGTTTGTAGGCCTAGAAATAAAAACTAGAAATTACTGAATGATATTTTTTGAAAAATATTATTCTTAGTTATCAGGGATGAGAAAGCTGTCAGCTATAAGGACCTGCAGAAAACAAAAGCTGTAGGTCCGAGTGGTTTTCAGTCGGCTTCGGGCCTCAGGACCGACGTTAATTTTGAATGGTATTGTGAAGGGGTTAGGGTATACACTGGCTGCCAAATCTTGACACAGGCATGTATATCTGACAGCAAATATTGTTGATGCTAGGGGATGTTGTCTGCATTGGTCTGGGTGGTCCAGATTTGGCAGATATTTGCTCAGTTGCTCTCTTGTGTTTGTGGTTGAATTACCCTCTGAAGACAAAATATTCGGTTCATAAGTGGGTATGAGTTAGACATGGTATATGTTAATATCAAGATCTAGTTCTATCACTGACTTGTGACATAGATGGACTGCAGTGTTTTTTCTCATCTGTGGAATGAGGACGACCATTCTTCATGTTTGTTTGTTACCATTACAGTAAGGGACCAGTACTAAGTCTGGTGGAGGGGTGCCTAAGATATTTTATGGAGAATAGATATCTTTTCAGCTGGTGTAAAATCAGAAATATTTTGTTTATTTCAATGAGTCTTAGTGTTTGTAGATAATTAAAAAACAACAGCAGTTTGCAACAATGTGGACTGTGCCCTACAGTTTCTCTTGTTTACAATCTGAAGCATAACTGGAATATTAAATGGTCATTCATTTACTCCAATCACAAAATCCTTCTATTTTAATTTAATATTTAAGCCTTAAGGGTAGTATTGTCTGGGATTTATCAAGGATTCTAAACTAACAGTAAGCCTGTTAAGTAACCTTGGCAGAAATGGGGGTTTTTTTGGCCCAAAATGTACAGTGGAAAACAAATTACCACCTGAAAACCATAACAATAATTATTACTATTTATCAGAAGTTGGGATATTTGTAATTCCAACTTCAGAAACTGTACTGTCATTTGCTGCTGATTTGAGGCCTGGTGAAATACAGCCTCTGATCTGGACTAGACAAATTCCTGACAATCTGAATATATTTTAGCTTATATGATAAGCATGATTAGTATTGTAAATATAAACGGAAAATACATGAGTATGAGGATACAGATTTCAGAAGTCAGTCACTTGTCTCTATTGTTCATACCTTGTATCTCTGTTGAACGTTCTTTATGTGCTTACGGAGTGTCTCGGTCACCCCCGAAATAATACCCATGGTACGCTTGATAAAAATGCATACATTCATCAAAACTTAGCATTTTTGGTGAATGCACAATGCCATTTAGAAAGCAGTCAAGTCTAACAAGTTATATTTGGGTTTGCTCTTTCTCCGGAAAGTACAGATTCTTTGGGTGGAGTTCCATCAGGGATTTGAGCCGGCAATTAATTGCCATCACACAAAGTATGGTTAGCATGATTTGTTATTATATTCATAGCCTGATCCATAAAAGAAGCGAAGAAATAATAACAGTCATCACATTAAATTATTCATTGTGAACACCAGCATTATGTCACAGTGTGATAGATTAATGTGATGATACTTGGTAAGGAATCATAATGCGCACCCCTCTAGGAAAGGGATATGATCAACTGTGACAAGTTCAAATTACTTGTATTACCTATAAAACATTGTACAGTAGATCATGTGGATAATCTTTGAAGCTTATTACCTTAATAGTATACCTATCTCTACCTACTGTTATTCGACTTTGATGGTATTGTAAGGTGTATATTTCTCGTTTTACAATGAGTCCACAACAATAGCCCCTATCATATTCCAGTTGTGTCTTGTATTGACAGCAGGTGCCCCTTGCAGCAGTGCCGGAGATGTGTGGACACAGTCAAGCGTTGGAGCCAGCCATACTTCAACACCTCCCCCGTCTGTTGATTAGTCTTGCCTGGCTGCCTGATGGTATCAAATATTCACAGGATGAGTGATTAGTGAACCAGAAGCTGTGATCCCTGGCAGGTGGTTGGAGGTGATATCAGTGGCAGGAGGTGATATCCGTGGCTGGAAATGCATTGATTTCAAGAAGCAGGAATCGAAGCTAATCAATGATTCATGTGTTTCTGTGAAGGAGCACCTTGTCGAGGGTCTCCTTCATGGAGTGTGGGTCTCTTGGCATGTGTACTGTGGTATATTTAGATTCTTTGACTGTTATCTCTTGGGATGGATAAGAACTCTTGACACCAGTATGCAGTACATATATGACAAGGAAAGGTTATGGAAGTCTGTCCCGGCCAAGAAGAAATTGGGGAGCAGAGGAGCAAGAGCGGCGTTCAGGGAGGTTCAGGATGTGAAAAGAAAGTTGGATTTTCATAATGATGATGAAACATTGAGGTCTGAATTCCTCTCCAAGATGACTGACCTGAGAGGTCTGATTAGTCCTAGAAAATCGGCACGCTTTAACTCCAAGTCTGATTCTCACGCTAGTAACAGAGGAAGAGCTGTTGATGTTGTTTGCTGGTCTGCCTCGGTGAACGAGTTTGATGACCTTCGGCATAATGATTACTTTTCTGGGAGTAATGAGGACCTGGTTTCCAGAAGGGATTCCGGTCAAACACGCAGAGAGCGGAACTACTGTGTTGTGAACTATAGTAGTGATCCAGCTGATTTCGGTGTTGTCAGAATTGATGATGGGGATGATGATGATGACGATGATGGGCTTAGAGTGGTGGAAGAAACGCTCCAGAGAAACTCACAATCAAAATACAGAGGCAACAACAGTGAGGCAGATTCAATGCATGTTCGCCATCAGGAGAAATTACATCACAACAATGGATTCCAGAATGACGTTTTCAAGAGACCTAAATCAATTTTGTTGTCTCAAAAAATCTCAGAAAGAGACTTTGTTGATGAGGTTGATAAGAAGGTTTTGTTACATCGGCTTGAAACTCGAGTCCGAGAGAAGCGTTTAAAGAAGCAGATTGCTGACATCAAAAACACATTACAAGATCGAGTTCTGGATGACAGCTCTGTGTCTGCTGATTCCTACTCATCACATGTGTCTGTTGATCAGGCTGTTAAAACTCTTGAAATACTCTCAGATGCCTTGAGGAAGTCGGACAGTTCAGTGGGTTACAGTGGTAACAGAACAGGCAGTTTGAGAGTTGGTTGTGAAGTACTTAAAAAATCTAAACAAGAACGTACGTCTGATTTCAGCCCTGAAGATCCTGGCAATGAATTTCAACGACCGAGAAATACAGTGAGGTCTTCCGAGAGTAAGAGACTATCCAGTTCACTGCTGAGCAGCTCATCATCAGTTCGGCCAGTGCAGACAAACGTGGACTTGTCAAGGAGTGATGGACTCCTTAATGAGGATGTTAGGTCAAATGGTCACAACCAACAGGATAGAGTCAGGGACTTACCATGGGAAAGACATTCTCTTAGGAGTTCTAAGTATTCTGACAGAGTAGTGGTGAGCAAAGATGTTGATTCCCCTGTCAAACAGTCGAGAAATACTGATCGTTCTACTGTTAATTACTTGCGTAAACATGATAAGGAAGACTTTCTCTCAAAGTCAGATGGTCAGAGGTACAGAAATGGCAATCATTTAACACAAGACAGAAGGTCGTCATCACTTGGACATTTTAAACAGCAGCAATCGAAGGAATGCGATGGCAACAGTATTACTGATGCTTCAAATGGTTGTCTTTCAAAAAGAATACTGAGACATGAAAACTCACAGAAAGTCAGAGGTACTGGTCCTGACCTGGAAATGTCCCCAGATTCTGATGAAGGCCCTTTGACTCTGACTGAGTTGGACACTGATTCCAACTCTGATTGGATTCTGGAGAGGGGGACAGATTCTGGTCACAGATCCCATTTGACTCATGGCCGGGGTGTTTCAGGCAGAGAAATGCTTGAAGATGAAGATGTAAGGAGGCGTGAATCAGTGCCCAATCATATTTCCCAAAAACGCTTCTCTCGGGAACATGGCCACACAGGCCCTATAGCCAGGGAACAGAAAGTAGGGTCTTCTAAGGTACATTCAGATAAACACAGTGAAGGTCATGCAAAAAGCAGACACGAGGAGCACTCAGTGTCCAGGACAGGTAATGGAATGGTTTTGCTTTCAAAAAGCTATAAACCAGCTTGTAATCGGAGGAAAGATGAAAGGAAGACAAGGAACGACCTGTGTGTTGGTGATGCGGAGACTCTTACTTTAGCTGATGTGCAGCGGTTTCACAGAGAGGTGGAGAAAAGACTCAATGGATGTGACGATAATGTAGGTGTAGATGCTTATGTTGGAGTGAAGGAGAAGGACAGAAAGAGAAATAAGCCTTCACAAAAAAACGGAGCTCAAAAGATTGTGCATGGTGAGAAGAAAACAAACATTCAGGGTATTAACAAATATAGTAAGAAGTTGCCTCCAGGACTTCCCGGGACCTTAAGGCCAAACTCGCCATCCAAACAGAAGGGGGTGTTGATTCCTGGGGGGATTAGTCATGTTTCAACTCGAGTCAAGCCTCGGGATGGCCGTGGCAACAGGCTGTCCAACACGAAGAATTCTTCTCATGGACAGCCTGTGCCAGATAAAGCAAGCAGAAATGGAGTCATATCTTCAGAGTCCAATGCTGTTCAAGTATCAGCAGATATCACAATTCCCGACCTTCTTGGTGTGCGTATTACAAAAACCATAACCAGACAGAAGGACGGTCATCGGGACCTGGATGTGAGGGATTTTCCAGAGAAACGTAAACTAAACTTGTCGTTTGAAGATTCACTTGATGGAGGACACAGTGTCCAGTGTGAAGTTCAAGGTTATGACCTTGACTTGAAAAGTGATATCAAAGGTCAAAGGTCACAAAAGGCAGATGACATCAGAGACAGGTCAAATAATAGATACAATCAAAATTCAAGAAATGATGAGAATGGGATTGTTGGGAATGAGTCTGACAAATCAGGGAAAGGTTTCATGGAACCAAAAGTGAATGACAGGCCTACTTCACCATGTCTTCTCATTCAGGACAGACTCGGTTCATCTGAACATAACAGAAGTAACAGTGTTTTAGTCAAGGGGGAAGCTAATGTGACAAAAAGCCTTGGAATTCTCAGCAATGAGTTGTTGAAAGAAACTTTTTTGTCAAACTGTGTGAACAAACTTGGAAGGATGAATGGAAACAGGATTGATGACTTAGAGCTCTCCAGGAAGAACAATGATCTTAGGGATGACCTTGGCCCGGCATCTGTGTTTGAGCCGCCAGAGAGGGATACATCCACACCCATCAAAGTAAGTAGGACAATGGTCAGATTATGCATCCCAAATCATTTAGAATATAGAGTCAACTTGTTATTAGACTTTGTGTGGCAAAAAATCATGTGAAGATAGAATAGAAATTATAATATAATAGAATAATACTTTAATGCCTTTTCAGGAATTTGTGTTACATCAGCAGAACTACTGACACATAAGAGAGATACCAAACATATTTACATAAATTCTTTGATTTAGGTATCTTCACATTTGTTTAAGAGAGATATGGTACTTGGAATAAAGGATGTACATAGTTTTCACAATTGGAACTTTGTAGCGGTGGCCTGAAGGGAGGAGGTTGTATTCCGAATTTAAGTAGTTAGTACTGTCAGATATAATTTTGACAGCTTGATTCACGATTTGCCGCTCATATATTGATGATAAATCTTCAAATCTGACTCCAGCGAGATAACAGCCCCTGGGCTCTATTCATCATATGCAATCTCAGTGCTAAGATGATCATTACTCTAATATTTTATCACAGACTTGCATCAGTTGTAGTGCTTAGATCACTTTGTAATGGGGCTCTGGTACTTCATGCTGGACATAGCAGTCAGTGAGACTCAGGTGACCTGGGTTATTGCATGTTGTAGTACTTGGACACCAGTACCATTGCCACACCCCCCACCCCTGCAAACACTGTGTGGAAGCTGGTACTTGGCTAGTGTGCACACTTTGATGTTTTTCTTTCGTTAAGAAACGTGAGCCGTACCAGGGAAACCCACTTCTCACCAACAATCAGACCAGCTTCCTACAGTAAGTCCTCGTCTTCATTATAACGTTGTGTGGATTCCAGAACGGCAGGGAGGCCATCCTAAATCAATTTTAGAGAAATGTTTATGTTATTAAACAAAATGTATAAATGACATATCTTGTCAAGAGAAATCTTGCCATCAAAATTATTTTAATAGTTATTGATCTCACAATACTTGATTTTGCACCACACTTTATCTCAAATATATAACCGATTTTAATCAGCCACTTTAGCACACTCTTTCCCTATCAACTGTTAAGTGCTATGTCTATTAGGGGTGACTATTGAGGGGGAAACAACTATTGCGATAGCGAATTGTCTCATTTGAAGTCATTTCCCAAATGAATGTATAGTTTGTGTATAATAAAATAAAGCTGAACTAGTGTCAGTCTCGTTTAATAACTGACAAGAAACTTGAAACCCAGATAAAGTTTGTTTTAGAGGTAACAGGGGCAGATAACTCTAAATCAAAGTGAACCAATCTGGTACTTCCTGTATTTTGCTCTACGCATTTATCAATGGCAGTCATTTACTGAAACTAGCGATAGTCACACATACTATTGATGCATTGACAATTTTTCGTTTGTACCGTCGATTTATTGCTATCAGACTCAACAATTGCAATCCATCAATAGTTAAATGCATTGTTGCAGCCCTAATATCTATACATGATGACATTCCTCTGATGTACAGGTCAAATGGCAGTGCCGCCGACACGATCATGGCACACATCCACAACCCTGACACTCTGCGTCTGCTCACAAACCTGTACCAGGCAGACGACACTAGTAGGAAGGATCTCATCATTCTGGTAAGTCTTGGTTCAAGTCATAGGTCAGAAATTGTATAAAATATTTGGTTTGTAGAGAAAATACTGTGATGTATATATCATGTACCTTCACAGATGCTAAAGTAAATCTGAATCAGCTATATACTGAGTTCCTGACATATGTTGCAACAGCATAACCTTTGTCCAAGGTAATCCGACCCGTGAAGATCCGGGTTAGAATTGATCTTCAATAACCCATGCTTGTCATAAGAGGCGACTAACGGGATCAGGTTGTCAGGCTTGCTGACTTGGTTGACACAGGTCATCAGTTCCCAATTGCGCAGATCGACGCTCATGCTGTTGATGACTGGATTGTCTGGTCCAGACTCGATTATTTACAGACAGCCGCTATACAGCTGGAATATTGCTGAGTGTGGCGTAAAACTCAACTCACTCACTCACTCCAGGGTAACCCTGATAACAAGATCCTGTCAAAAATGCTTCGTTATTGTTCAAGATGTCATTAAATTTAGCAATTAAAACCCTCTGTAGATCTGTCAGTACAGAAGATGTTCTTAAGATTTGATAGTTCTAGCATGGAGTGATCACGTTTGCCAGTACCTAGTGTTGAGTTAGTAGAATGATGACCGCTGGGTGAGAAGTGTTCCCTAGGAACCCATGCTTGTCATGGATGGTTGGTCTGTATATCAATGACAGGTCTGGTCCCAACTTGATTATTTACCATGTTTACAGTCAGCCATCATATAGCTGGAATATAACTGACTTTAACATTAACAAATATACAAAATGGTGGAGTGATTATCCTTGTCAATTACCCTAGACCCAGCACTTCAAGACATGGCAAACCAATGCAAAACGACAGAAAGAGCACCGCCAGAACCGAGACATCTTCATGAACAGGTAGGAAGCAGGGGGCAGGAGGTTTGTGTAAATATCTAATGGTCACACTTTGATGTGACCACATGATGAGATCATAGTTTCGATTTCAGATAAAAGTGGGATTACAAAGTCTTACATCGCCCAATCATAGGGAACCTGCATCGTTAAATCTTTCAAGCTGTAGTGATAGCAGAGTTATGATCGTTTGTCGTGTCAAGATCCCACAGTTGTGCTTTTGCCTTTGATTTTCTTGGTTATTTTAGTCTTGTTAAAATCATCCTCGATAATCTCCAGGTATACATTCCAATAAATCTCCACTAGTACCCTGGAAACATCTATAGATCAGCCGATAATTCTATTACCTCCCTTTGCTGGGTCTGCCTTCTCACAGTAGCCAATCAGATAAGCCGTTACAACCAAACTAGCCAGTGTCAACAAAGATAGCAGCCGCAGTCACGAGGGAGTTTGCTCACTGGGCAACTCAGATTGACACGAAATTGACACGTCTAAAATCTTCAAAAAATATGTGCAGAACTTATTCTACCTCTTTCAGAGTACAATTGTGTCGCCAAGTTTAATCGGTTAGATAAAAAAAGCGAAAGTTAAGTATGTTAGAAGGCTTATGATTGGTACGCTGAACTTCGCTGGTTGGATTAAAAGCCATCAAAGGCCGAGCATCCAGGGTACTAGTGGAGATTAATCGGAAAGTATACCCAGGAGATTATCAAAGATGGTTAAAATGTGCATTACGGTTTCCTTTGATTAAGCAGCATCAACAGCATTTTCCCTGGTTTGTCCAAGAATAGCAGCAATTTCAAAACATAGACAGTCTGCCCTGAGAGCAGAATTTTGTCCATATCATATAACACTATTGAAGTTGTTACCTTGATGTTAACGTTGTGACCCTGGAACTGCATGTTCATTAAGTTAATAAAACAAGACTGGTCAACTTCAGTATTCTGTGTCTGAGGGTATCCAGTTTAAACTGCAGCATGGTATCTCACTGTGTTCTCACTGCTATGTAACTGGCATTAGTCCAGAACTATTGAAGCCCAGAGAGACACACAGCTGCACACACACAAGCATTTCACAAACACACACACACCCTACAGAAGAGCAATAATTCATCAACAATCCCACTGTGTCCAGGGCCCAGAAGTTCCTGGTGAACCACCTCCTAGTGCGATACTTCTATACCTGGCATTCCCTGGCTCAGGACCAACGGCAGAACAGGGTAGCCACAGATCTCTTCAGACATCATATGCTGAAGAAGGGACTGGATGCCTTCCGCTGGGCCATCAGTCGGTCCATGCACAGGCAGGACATGCTGAGTCACCGTGTGAACACCATCCAACTAACAGCAGCCTTCAACAAGGTGAGTGAACACCATCCAACTAACAGCAGCCTTCAACAAGGTGAGTGAACACCATCCAACTAACAGCAGCCTTCAACAAGGTGAGTGAACACCATCCAACTAACAGCAGCCTTCAACAAGGTGAGTGAACACCATCCAACTAACAGCAGCCTTCAACAAGGTGAGTGAACACCATCCAAGTAGCAGCAGCCTTCAACAAGGTGAGTGAACACCATCCAACTAACAGCAGCCTTCAACAAGGTGAGTGAACACCATCCAACTAACAGCAGCCTTCAACAAGGTGAGTGAACACTATCCAACTAACAGCAGCCTTCAACAAGGTGAGTGAACACTATCCAACTAACAGCAGCCTTCAACAAGGTGAGTGAACACCATCCAACTAACAGCAGCCTTCAACAAGGTGAGTGAACACCATCCAAGTAGCAGCAGCCTTCAACAAGGTGAGTGAACACCATCCAACTAACAGCAGCCTTCAACAAGGTGAGTGAACACCATCCAACTAACAGCAGCCTTCAACAAGGTGAGTGAACACCATCCAACTAACAGCAGCCTTCAACAAGGTGAGTGAACACGATCCAACTAACAGCAGCCTTCAACAAGGTGAGTGAACACCATCCAACTAACAGCAGCCTTCAACAAGGTGAGTGAACACCATCCAACTAACAGCAGCCTTCAACAAGGTGAGTGAACACCATCCAACTAACAGCAGCCTTCAACAAGGTGAGTGAACACCATCCAAGTAGCAGCAGCCTTCAACAAGGTGAGTGAACACCATCCAACTAACAGCAGCCTTCAACAAGGTGAGTGAACACCATCCAAGTAGCAGCAGCCTTCAACAAGGTGAGTGAACACCATCCAACTAACAGCAGCCTTCAACAAGGTGAGTGAACACCATCCAAGTAGCAGCAGCCTTCAACAAGGTGAGTGAACACCATCCAAGTAGCAGCAGCCTTCAACACGGTGAGTGAACACCATCCAACTAACAGCAGCCTTCAACAAGGTGAGTGAACACCATCCAACTAACAGCAGCCTTCAACAAGGTGAGTGAACACCATCCAACTAACAGCAGCCTTCAACAAGGTGAGTGAACACTATCCAACTAACAGCAGCCTTCAACAAGGTGGTGAACACCATCCAACTAACAGCAGCCTTCAACAAGGTGAGTGAACACCATCCAAGTAGCAGCAGCCTTCAACAAGGTGAGTGAACACCATCCAACTAACAGCAGCCTTCAACAAGGTGAGTGAACACCATCCAACTAACAGCAGCCTTCAACAAGGTGAGTGAACACCATCCAACTAACAGCAGCCTTCAACAAGGTGGTGAACACCATCCAACTAACAGCAGCCTTCAACAAGGTGAGTGAACACTATCCAACTAACAGCAGCCTTCAACAAGGTGAGTGAACACCATCCAACTAACAGCAGCCTTCAACAAGGTGAGTGAACACCATCCAACTAACAGCAGCCTTCAACAAGGTGAGTGAACACCATCCAAGTAGCAGCAGCCTTCAACAAGGTGAGTGAACACCATCCAACTAACAGCAGCCTTCAACAAGGTGAGTGAACACCATCCAACTAACAGCAGCCTTCAACAAGGTGAGTGAACACCATCCAACTAACAGCAGCCTTCAACAAGGTGAGTGAACACTATCCAACTAACAGCAGCCTTCAACAAGGTGAGTGAACACCATCCAACTAACAGCAGCCTTCAACAAGGTGAGTGAACACCATCCAACTAACAGCAGCCTTCAACAAGGTGAGTGAACACCATCCAACTAACAGCAGCCTTCAACAAGGTGAGTGAACACTATCCAACTAACAGCGGCCTTCAACAAGGTGAGTGAACACTATCCAACTAACAGCAGCCTTCAACAAGGTGAGTGAACACCATCCAACTAACAGCAGCCTTCAACAAGGTGGTGAACACTATCCAACTAACAGCAGCCTTCAACAAGGTGAGTGAACACCATCCAACTAACAGCAGCCTTCAACAAGGTGAGTGAACACCATCCAAGTAGCAGCAGCCTTCAACAAGGTGAGTGAACACCATCCAACTAACAGCAGCCTTCAACAAGGTGAGTGAACACTATCCAACTAACAGCAGCCTTCAACAAGGTGAGTGAACACCATCCAACTAACAGCAGCCTTCAACAAGGTGAGTGAACACCATCCAAGTAGCAGCAGCCTTCAACAAGGTGAGTGAACACTATCCAACTAACAGCAGCCTTCAACAAGGTGAGTGAACACCATCCAACTAACAGCAGCCTTCAACAAGGTGAGTGAACACCATCCAAGTAGCAGCAGCCTTCAACAAGGTGAGTGAACACTATCCAACTAACAGCAGCCTTCAACAAGGTGAGTGAACACTATCCAACTAACAGCAGCCTTCAACAAGGTGAGTGAACACCATCCAACTAACAGCAGCCTTCAACAAGGTGAGTGAACACCATCCAACTAACAGCAGCCTTCAACAAGGTGAGTGAACACCATCCAACTAACAGCAGCCTTCAACAAGGTGAGTGAACACTATCCAACTATCAGCAGCCTTCAACAAGGTGAGTGAACACTATCCAACTAACAGCAGCCTTCAACAAGGTGAGTGAACACCATCCAACTAACAGCAGCCTTCAACAAGGTGAGTGAACACCATCCAACTAACAGCAGCCTTCAACAAGGTGAGTGAACACCATCCAAGTAGCAGCAGCCTTCAACAAGGTGAGTGAACACCATCCAAGTAGCAGCAGCCTTCAACACGGTGAGTGAACACCATCCAACTAACAGCAGCCTTCAACAAGGTGAGTGAACACCATCCAACTAACAGCAGCCTTCAACAAGGTGAGTGAACACCATCCAACTAACAGCAGCCTTCAACAAGGTGAGTGAACACTATCCAACTAACAGCAGCCTTCAACAAGGTGAGTGAACACCATCCAACTAACAGCAGCCTTCAACAAGGTGAGTGAACACCATCCAAGTAGCAGCAGCCTTCAACAAGGTGAGTGAACACCATCCAACTAACAGCAGCCTTCAACAAGGTGAGTGAACACCATCCAACTAACAGCAGCCTTCAACAAGGTGAGTGAACACCATCCAACTAACAGCAGCCTTCAACAAGGTGAGTGAACACCATCCAACTAACAGCAGCCTTCAACAAGGTGAGTGAACACTATCCAACTAACAGCAGCCTTCAACAAGGTGGTGAACACCATCCAACTAACAGCAGCCTTCAACAAGGTGAGTGAACACCATCCAACTAACAGCAGCCTTCAACAAGGTGAGTGAACACCATCCAAGTAGCAGCAGCCTTCAACAAGGTGAGTGAACACCATCCAACTAACAGCAGCCTTCAACAAGGTGAGTGAACACCATCCAACTAACAGCAGCCTTCAACAAGGTGAGTGAACACCATCCAACTAACAGCAGCCTTCAACAAGGTGAGTGAACACTATCCAACTAACAGCAGCCTTCAACAAGGTGAGTGAACACTATCCAACTAACAGCAGCCTTCAACAAGGTGAGTGAACACCATCCAACTAACAGCAGCCTTCAACAAGGTGAGTGAACACCATCCAACTAACAGCAGCCTTCAACAAGGTGAGTGAACACCATCCAACTAACAGCAGCCTTCAACAAGGTGAGTGAACACTATCCAACTAACAGCAGCCTTCAACAAGGTGAGTGAACACTATCCAACTAACAGCAGCCTTCAACAAGGTGAGTGAACACCATCCAACTAACAGCAGCCTTCAACAAGGTGAGTGAACACCATCCAAGTAGCAGTTGTGGCTGGATGTACTTACTGACACTGTAGTGCATATGTTTAAGATAACCTTGTGTATCTTTCCATCAGTGGCGAGACAGGGCAGACACCAGGCGACAGACCAGACTGGAGATGTCCTTTCAGACCTGGCGAGACTTCACCCTGGAGGCACAGAGGTACACACTTTAAATAGTTGATGAAAAGTCAGTGTCTACATCCCAATGTTCAGTGTAAAAGATGCACTGGGTTTGTAGATTCAGATATTAGAACCCCCCTCAAGTTATGAACACACACTGGAGGGGGCATACTGGAGTAGGTTGCTTCTGTGTATCCCAGGTACCCCAACTAAATGTACCCTAACTTGTATGAACATATGTACCCTAGCTTGTATGAACATATGTACCCTAGCTTGTATGAACATATGTACCCTAGCTTGTATGAACAAATGTACCCTAGCTTGTATGAACAAACGTACCCAAGGTTGTATGAACAAATGTACCCAAGCTTGTATGAACAAATGTACCCTAGCTTGTATGAGCAAATGTACCCTAGCTTGTATGAGCAAATGTTCCCTATCTTGTGTGAACAAATGTACCCTAGCTTGTATGAACAAATGTACCCTAGCTTGTATGAACAAATGTACACTAGCTTGTATGAGCAAATGTACCCTAGCTTGTATAAACAAATGTACCCTAGCTTGTATGAACATATGTACCCTAGCTTGTATGAACAAATGTACCCTAGCTTGTATGAACAAATGTACCGTAGCTTGTATAAACCAATGTACCCTAGCTTGTATGAACAAATGTACCCTAACTTGTACAAACATATGTACCCTAACTTGGCAGTGTGTGCCTTTTGGGAGTCGATATGTCTGTTGCAATATGTGGGAAACAGTTTTGGAAGTCTTTGCTGTGCGAGTCTGCAAGGGAATCAGTTTAGTGTATTTTGTACTGGTTGCAGAGCTATTTGGGCAAACTATGGTACATTTATGTCTTCATATTTGGTTTTGGGTGCATTTCAGTGAAGATGAAAGTACAGGGTGTAAAACCCTAAGCAACAATGACCCTTCTGCAACACTGACATCTCCGTGCACTCATTTGTTTCACGGTTACAATGCAAGCAGACTCCACAGTATTGCATGTTAAGACTTGCTGTGTGGATTCCCCAGTACCACAAATTTAGGTTTTGTTTTGAAACCACATGTTGATCTGAGACCATTATAGCCTCCATACCTCCAGGCCAATGAGATATATTGAGTTTGAACTGATTCATAACTGTAAAACAACTCCAAACACAACTGTCATTAACTTATATAAAAGTGAGTGAGAATAGTACTTAAGACCCCCGACCATCTCTCCTGTCAGTGCCTCTAGTGTTAATCCTGTGTTCTGGGGGTCCATCTGTGAAGCCATTTCCGGTGTCTCGTGCCATCGTGTTTACAGTGATAATTCTAACTGTAAAATCACACTCACTCACTTACTCACTAACTGACAGAGCTCGGATGCTGCGGAAAAGCCTGGAGCAGAAGTTGATGTCGGCGATGTTGCAGAAGTGGGTGGAGATGCATGCACTGAGGGTGAAGCAGCACAAGGCGGACTACTACCGCAGGTGAGTGGTGCACGCAGGGATACCCATTTTCTCCCAACAATCACTCTAACTTTTAGGTAAAAAACACAGATAGTTGTACAGTGATTAATATAATTGTCCTGCTTCATGTCAGGATTTACATTTCTTTAGTTCAAAGTGCCTGAGAGGTGTTGTAATTGTTGAAAACAGCTGAATTATATTCCCTACAGCAAATGTATATATTTACAGTATTACCAGTATTTGATACTGCATGAATACAGGGAGATATTGCCAGTCAATGGTCATGTGAGATATATTTCATGTTGAATAGGTATACTATTTGTATTTGTAGGGTGAATTTCATTATATTTATTATGACTTGATATCTCTTGTTATTTAATTCTAATTAAATTTTACAAATAAACAACTGTAACCTTGTTAACATTACAAGTAAAAATTTGACCCCCCATGTAGGAATTTCCCTCTCCCACTCCCTCTCCCCGTCTTCCTCTCCCTTACCCCTCTCCTCCCTCAACCCCTCCCCGCCCTCAACCCCTCCTTGCCTTCAATCCCTCTCCTCCCTCAACCCCTCCCTGCCCTCAACCCTCTCTCCTCCCTCAACCCCTCCTTTCTCTTCTCCCACTCCCTCTCTCCGTCTTCCTCTCCTTTACCCCTCTCCTCCCTCAACCCCTCCCCACCCTCAACCCTCTCCTCTCTCAACACCTCTCCTCCCTCAACTCCCCCCTGCTTGCCCTGCCCCTCCTTACTCCTCTCCAACTCCCTCTCTTAGTCTTCCTCTCCCTTACCCCTCTCTTCCCTCAAACCTCCCCACCCTAAGCCCCTCTCCTCCCTCAACCCCTCCCCACCCTCAACCCCTCCTTGCCTTCAATCCCTCTCCTCCCTCAACCCCTCCCTGCCCTCAACCCTCTCCTCCCTCAACCCCTCCTTTCTCTTCTCCCTCCCCTCTCTCCGTCTTCCTCTCCTTTACCCTCTCCTCCCTCAACCCCTCCCCCCTTGCCTGCCCTGCCCTGCCCTCAACCCCACCTTGCCCTGCCCCTCCTTACTCCTATCCACCACCCTCTCTACAGATTCTCCTCATTACACAGACAGAACCTCAGTTACACACATGGCACAGTTACAGCAGACTGCGCATCATGTAGACCTGGGCCCCGTTCCTTAAAGTGATCGTAGCGCTACGACGTAAGTCTATGTTAAAGTATGGGAGTTACGATCATCTTAGCGCTACAATCCTTTTGTGAAATGGGGCCCAGTTTCAAAATCCGTTGTACTCTTTGAAAATCTGCATGGTAACACACAATGGCAGAGGTGAATTCTACCAAGTTTAAAACATATTCACATGATAATTAACTGGTCACTAATGGTAAGGAAGTTTAATTGTAAAATCCACCAAAGCATGTGATAATAGCATCTGTTATCTTCCCTGTGTTATCCTACAGCAGTGTGGCTAGGTCCCAGGTAGGACATACATGTTGTATCACATGCATGGGAATATGTGTTATGGCTCTATATCAGGAACAAGACTTTAAATGTTGTTTGCAAGACTGTTTACACATCTGTATTGTGTATTACTCCCGTATTAACACTCACACGGATCTCTACATGTAACTCACTGTGTGGACACCAGTATGTGGCATCACCTTCTTGTTGTTCTCTGGTGTTTGTTCTCATCCACTGTTTTCACCTGGACACAGACATTTTGTCATGCACTTCATATGTTTTTCCAAGTGTCTTACTAAAATTAATATGTCATTATCCATTCTATAACTAATTATTCTCAGATCAGATTAGCCTGAGTGTATACTGGGGCCACTGCTGCCTTTGTGTCTAAGTTGTGCGGAGTTGCAGAGTTGCATCCCTTAGCCAGGCCCAACTGGTCAAAAGTTTAGATTTCAGATTCTGATCGATTTGTCTTTTGCCATTATACCAGTGGTTCTGTATGTAACCTACAGACTGACCATGCTATGACTTGAGGATTTATGTATACACTTGAACCCCGTTATCTTGAACTTGGCAGGGCTGAGTTGTAAATTTAAGATTTCCAGACATTCCCAATAATGAGGCATGATATCCTACAGTGATGTTATATATGTGTAGAAAGGTTCAAGACACAATGTATCTAGCCGAAGTGCATACCGCTATCAGAGATGCTTAATTATCTCTAACTGTTCATGAGGAAAGTACAAACTTTGACGAAGTTACAAAATTCTATAAATAGTAAGCGTTTTTGCCGAGTCCAAGGTTTGAGAAAGCTTGGGTATATTTTTTGTGAATTCTAGAGAAGCAGGTAAATTTGTATGCATTTATATGGTGAGGCATTCCGAACCAGTGAATAGGATCCAAATATTGACCATTTGAGGTACAGTCTGAAATGATGGAGTACGAGATAGCAGGGTTTGACTGTATTTAATTGTTCTGTTTTCCATCTGGTTTATCGGACTTCGAAATTCTTTCCAGCATATAGCCTGAAATTCAGTGGTAGTCATGATGGTAGTCATCATTGAATAGTGGCGTTTGATTGTTATAATTCTTGACCAGTTCTCAAAGTGTCAGCTTTGCTACAGTTTGGATCTAAATAACTCACACAAAATGCAAGCATAGCAAATATTTTGCATCTTCATGAAGTAGGACTGCCTGTGTGAACTAGTTTAATTCTGTTTTCTAAGGCTGGGCCTTCCCTCTTTGCATGTTTAACCAGACAGCATGACTGAAATTCTTGTAGGTAGATTAATGTGTGGGAGTGAGCATGTGCTACTAAATCTAACACTGTGGAGGATGTAGATTGTTCCAACTGACACCGTGGGTGTTTGTGTACATCATGTGACTCCCTGTACAGTCTGTACGTCCGGTGTGGTGTGTGTCACTCGTGTCGTGTGATGTTTCAGGTGCACAATGTTGTCGCACATGTGGTTGTCGTGGCAACACTTCACGGCACTGTCCAAACAGAAGAGGTCCCGGAGGCAGCAGGCAATGTGAGTCAGTAACCATGGTAACACAGTGCCAAGGTAGCAAAAAAAGGCAATGAATGAAGGAAACAGAGTTTTCAATAGCCAATAGGAAATTCTTATAGTTGTTATGTGAACAAAGATTGGACCATCTGCCATAAAATCCTTGACCTGTTTGTCGGTCAGATAATGTCAATGTTCTGTGGTAGTACCAGCAATGTTGTGCTTTTTGTGCTTGTTAACATTTCGTGTATGTGTTACAGTATGGAGAGGTAGTTAACCTGTGTAACATATTTAGGTAAAATGTCCTTGTCATAACCCTAATGTTAAAATTTGGGCAGGCAGTTTGACATGGTAAGTACCACATAAAAGGATCAAAGGATAGGTTTACCACAATTTGAGCTCAGGAAATATGGAGGATGCAAATTTATGTAAGATGTAAACCCTGAAAGATGTGAAATTGAATACAATGTCTTCACTGTTTAAGGGTTTGTAAAAAATTCAGCCAAAAGTCTTCCGGAATATAATCGCCAGTGTTTCAGTATGTTAGTTTTAATATATCGTTTATGAATCTTCTTCTTTTTTTTCATTTTCACCAGAAAAACAAGAAACATGCTTTGTTCTTCTTCAAGTTACTGTCATACAAGAAACTCAGTTGTCAATGTTGTTTAACGTCGCCCTCATCAATATTCCAGCTATATGGTGGCGATCTTTAAATAATCGAGCCTGGACCAGACAATCCAGTGATCAACATAATGAGCATTGTTCTGGATCAAAAAACTCAGTGACATGTCACACATCCGTGACAGGAGTCTGATAGTTTCTGATAGTGCTAGGGAGTATGTTGTGACTCCGAAGCTGTGTGTTTCAGTGCCTTATATCGAGAACATCTCCAGCGCCGGATGTTGGAGGAGATGCAGCAGACATACCTGAAACACCAGCGTGCCTGCAAACACTACAGGTAGATGTGGTTCCATACGCAGCACAGCTTGGTTAATCCTAATCTGTACAGGGCGATATACTCAAATGGAATGTGTATATATGAAGCAACACTTTAGTGCTGTTTATTCCTTCTACTTTGGGGGCGGTGGGGTAGCCTAGTGGTTAAAGCTAGAACCGGGTTTGAATCCCCACATGGGTACAATTTGTGAGGCCCATTTCTGGTGTCCCCCGCCGTGATGTTGCTGGAATATTGCTTAAAGCGGCGTAAAACCAAATTCAGTCAGTCAGTCAGTCCTTCTACTTTGCAGAGCTAGAATTGCACAAGTACTTACTCGACTGATGTAGATATTTCCCGTCATAATAAATAAGTTCAAAATAAAGAAAAAGGATGTGTTATGATTCTTTATTTATTAAAATGACAATATCATTATGATTTTCATATTTCAAATCACAAACTTTTATATATGTTTTTCAACCTACAATTTTGCATTTTGTCCTGATTTTACTGATTCTGAGCATTCTATACAGCTGCAGATTTGATGATAGTCTGGTCCTCCTCTCAGCGTTGACATGTATTTCAGACTGAGGACACTGGCTCAGATATTCCGGGGCTGGCACCAATCGTCCCAGGTCTGTAAAGTAGAACGACAGCATGACCTGAGCCGAAGCCAGGACCACTGGCACTCCACCAACCTCCGCCGCTTCTTCGTCTACTGGCGTGAGACGCTCTGGAATCTCCGCGCCAAGCGGATGGATGAGAGGAATATTTGCCTGTACGTTAGATTGTTATACAAGGTACATGTGTCAGTAGTGGTTTGGATGACTTGTGTTCCATTAGAGAAGATTTACATCCTATACACACACATGTAACTCAGTAACAGACAGAAATATAGTGAGGTAGTTTAGTTTTACGCCACTTTTAGCAATATTCCAGCAATATCATGGTGGGGGACACCAGAAATGGGCTTCACACATTGTACCCATGTGGGGAATCGAACCTGGGTCTTCGGCGTCACCCAATCCAACGCTTTTACCACTAGGCTACCCCACCACCCTGCAAAATATAGAGTTGACATGAAATTTTCCACACCAGACTATACATATTTTAAAAAGATGTGAAAAAAACCAAACCCCAACATACATCTGTTGCACATACCCCAGTACAGAATATTTTGATTCAACAGGATAATTTTCATGCGAGCATAGGCCCCATGTTCAATTCAAAACTCACGTTTCAGCCATATGTTCTCGCTGTGGAAGGAGAAATGGCTGACTAACTTGTCACGTCGACGCTACATTGAGAAACAGATCGAGATGAACAAGTTGCGACGGTCGCTGCAGGTGTGGCGTGACAATGTGGTGCAGCTGCGTCGTCGTCGTGCTGCTGCCATCTACAGTCTGGAAAATGCCCTTATGAGACAGATGCTTGGAGACTGGAACCGATACACCGGGCTACGAGGAGATATGAGGTGAGACAACATCCGTTATTGTGGAGTTGAATAGAGATTAGTGGCTGAGTTTGTTTCTGTATCATATTCATTAAAATATTTGGCACAGAAATTGTGTTACACAAACCATTAACACCTTCGACTTATTATTAATGGTGTTATGTTTTAGGCAGAGGATGAAGACACACATCTGCTACCAGAATGCAACCAAAATGGCGGATTGTTTCCCGGGTATGGAAGAGGGAGTTCGAGAAGCGAGTGGATGAACAGACAGCCAAGAGATTCTGGTCCAACCATTGTGCGAGGTGAGCTTACGTGTTAGCAATATTATGTGTAGATGTTTGAAGACAAATTGTTGAATTGCATTTTCATCTGAAACTGATATGATTTGTCATGTGTGTGTGTTCTTAGGAAGGCGAGTGTCACGTGGCAGCTGATGTGTCGGAAGCGCCGTCTGCAGACCACGCTGGAGGAGACAGAGCCCCTGAGGCAGCTGACACTCATGCAGGGTGAGATACTCTGTGCTGTGCAGTATTCAGGGACTTAGTGTAGAACTCTGCTGGTATTCCCCATTAGAATTGGTCCCAAGTAACCTGCTGGTCTAGGAACTGACCAAATTGATCTGAGATCATACTTGGTGATTGAAAGTTATGGATGGTTGTTCATAATATCAGCCATCAAATTGTCTTGACAGTTATATCCCACAGTATCTAATACAATAATAATGATAATAATGATAATAATAACCACTTCCATCACACTTGTAGCAGGTATCAGTTATGAGACTGTTTTTATCTGTCTTTGAGCAAAACATTGCTAAGGCAGCAAATGATCCCAGGGCTTTCAACCCAAAATTACAAGAGGAAGATCCTACCCTCTCAATGAAGGACCGACTTCCTGTTTTGTTCTATATTGTTTTCAAATCCTGTGATACATGCACCTAGATAATAATCACTACATACTTGTTGCAGTGAAGTAGCTGTGTAAAATAAAAGTTACCACGGTGATGTATGTGTTGTTTTAGTGATGTTCTTCTTTAAAGACTTCTGTGTAACTAGGGGCGGCTGGGGGGATAGCCTAATGGTTAAAGCGTTGGCTCGTCACGCCAAAGACCCCGGGTTCGAATCCCCCCATGGGTACAATGTGTGAAGCCCATTTCTGGTATCCCCGCCGTGATATTGCTGGAATATTGCTAAAAGCGGCGTAAAACCAAACTCAGTCAGTCTGTGTAACTATGGACATTTACTTCTTGTTGTAGTGATGTTCCTGCGCTGGGTAGAGGCAAAGAAAAAGGTGGATCGGGAGAAGCAGGAGGCAGCAGAGATGCGTGGCATGTTGCAGAGATGCCAACTACGTCGTCGCTTCAACACGTGGAAGGGTGCCACTCGTCTGGCTCTCACCATCAAACCCATGGTGCAGAGTAGACACCACAAACTGGTGACACAGTAAGTATATTGCATTCAGGGCACTGCTCACATAGCTATACAACTCTCAAAACTCAAACATATACCAACATCCATCATAGCACTACCACTGCTTTGTGAAACAGACTCTAAACACAAGCCGCCATACCACAACACAGCAGTTGTCGGTGTTGGCGGAAGGTCATGTGAAGCACATGTTAGAGATGTTTCCCATATGACTACTGTCATAGTGAACTGCCTGTGGTTAGTCAGTCATGTATATATCTGATTGACGTTTATTGGTCTCTGTTTCCTCTTTGGTGTTGCTCTTGTATCCTAGTGGTTAATGTGAAGCCCAGTTCGGGTGTGCCCCGCCGTGATATTGCTGGAATATTGCTAAAAGCGGCATAAAACAATACTCACTCACCCACTCCTAGTCGTTAAAGCGTACACACATAAGGCTGAAGACCCGGGTTTGATTCCCCACAAGGTGTGAAGCCCATTTCTGGTGTCCCTCGCCGTGATATTGCTGGAATATTTCTGAAAGCGGCGTAAAACTAAACTCACTCACACTTTGCTAAACTCACTCACACTTTACTGTTGGAAGTTGACTGTCACCATCATTTGTCGTGCAGGTGCTTCCAGGGTTGGCAACAGCTGACAGCTCACAAGCGGCAGTGTTGTCACAGTCGGGATGAGTTCCTTAGGACCTGCTTGCAGAAGGCCCTCGACAGATGGAGGTAATTTGGATGTGGTCTAGGTTGACATTTCTGTAATGCTGTAACTGTCATGTTGAACATGATTGTTTGGACATGGTAATTGATAATCCTTACCATGAATGTTGTACCCTGTTGGAATGTATCAGTTTAAAGTGCATATGTCTAATATTCTAACTGTCCATGCCCGACAGGCGTCAGTACAAGGTACATGAGATCGAGCGGCAGATCAAGCACCGGATGAAGACTGGCATAGCCCTGGTGTGTCTGGAGGAGTGGAACTTTGTCATCCGACGTAAACATGCAGCTCAGCAGTTCCACAATGCATACCTCCAGCGAGACATGTTCACACACTGGAGAGACCGCACCAGTAGAAAACTGCAGCAGGAGGCCGAGGCTCGAGCAGAGAAAGTGAGTTGTCCCACCCTATCTACAGTGAACTCTGCATAGAAACATAAAGCCAATGATAAAATGAGACGAAGATGAACCTTTAGTGCAAAAACAAATTACGTGTACCAGTAGGATGTCTGTGGTGGCGGTGGTGGGGTAGCCTAGTGGTTAAAGAGTTGGCTCGTCATGCCGGAGACCCGGGTTCGAATCCCCACATGGGTACATTGTGTGAAGCCCATTTCTGGCGTCCCCTGCCGTGATGTTGCTGGAATATTGCTAAAAGCGGCGTAAAACCAAACTCAGTCAGTCAGTCGGTCAGTCAGTGGTGGTAGTGTTGCACCAAGGGAACAGACATGTTTGTAGTACGAATCTCCAGCATGTCTATACACCTTGTTTCCATTGCCAGGAGCGACGCGAGAACCTAAAGAGCTACTACTTCCATCTGTGGTGGTCAAACGTCCAGGAGCAGATGGTGGACACAGAGGACGCCATCATGATGCTGCATCAGCGCCAGGCCCACAACCGCATCCGCCGCAGCTTCCACTGGTGGAGGACGCACCTACAACATACGCGCAGTAGCAGGTAGGGCTCTGGCATCAATGTCCAATATCTTTTTAAGCCCAATTATGTTACAATATGATGCATGGACAATGGACATTATTAGCTAAAAGGGTTTGTGTGTCATGATGATCGAGATTAGGTAAGAATAGTGCATGTGAACATGCGATGCATAGCTTTTGCGATATTGTGAAGCACGTATTTTGCAGGTGCATTCCATTATGTTAGGCTATGATTGTATGTTGGGACCAAATTTTTAAATAACTGCCCTTGGATTCAATCTAGAGTGTGTTTGATGCTGTGTAATAGTGCGATGTGTGTTGCTCGGATAAGATGTGTGTGCATTTGGTGCTGTGTAATGGTGTGTGTGCGAGAGAAATAGAGAGAGGGGGAAGAGAGAGAGAAAGAGTCAGAAAGAGAGATGCCATGCAGTGTAATGGTGTGTATGTGTGTTGCAGGGCCTACTTTCAGATGCTGTGTGAGAGGACATTGAGAACGGTGCTGATGGAGTGGCATCTCACCACAGACAGCTCCCTCACCGATGCTGTGCATCAATTCCGTGAGGACATCGGTCTCCCTCCTCTAGATCCAGACCTATCAGAAGACCGGGAGACTGGACTTGGATATATGTCCGAGGGCTCCGTTGCCAGCAGTAGCGGTTTCCATAGCAACAAAGGTAAAGGCTGGCAGTATGTTCTGACAAATGCACCGCAAGAGCAGGATGGAGGTGTTTGCCTCCGGACTTCACAAAATGTGTTACCAGAAAGTGTTCATTGCCTTGATATTGTACTCTGTTGTCTTGAAGGAAATGTATCGGTAAGGAACATGCACAAAGCTTGTGTGATGCATTACCCACCAATCATGACAGATTTTTTAACTTCTGTTGAGTGGTCTATTAACCATTTGTGTAGCGTACTGTTCAGACTTTGAATTTAATAATTGTCTGTGATAGTCTAGATTTTTAAACTTGTCCTATCTCACTATTTGCACTTCTCTCTCTTGCTTCGACGCTGAGTGGAACGAATGAGAACTTTTCCTGTAGGGCTCTCTTGTCCATACCCCTGTGTTCCCCAGGCTGCTCTCCTTATAGGACAGGTCCCCAGTCGCAGGCTAAGTGTGCAGCACGTTCCCCTGTCTACCCACATGACTACCTCAGAGTGATCATTCTTCTTGTCGCACCACTGTGTGGACGTATTGTGAGAGTTCTCAGCTTTCCTTACAAGTTAACATGGGAAATATATCATGGGTAGTTGACCCTAAGTAGCATAATTTTGCGCACACTGTAACATTCTTTTTCAGAAGAAGTCCTCCTTGGGGTACATATAAGCATTAAAATGTCCATTTTAAAAGCCTACGACAGTTGTAACAATATTTCAATAAAATATTTTACCAAACAAAAAACTCGTTATGTGTGGTGAGACCACCCCTACAGGGCCCCGTAGAGGGCCCCCTACAGCCAAGAGCAGGTAACTCTGGCTGTGTACCTCGTACCTCACTTTTCATGCTGTCGTCGGCCGTGTAGGTCGTTTGCATGGTCCAAGATACGAATAAGGATGAGTGAGATAGAGTCAAATCCTGTATGTATGGTTCCTTTTTTTCGCTCGGGCGCTAGCTGGAATCTTTGTATGACTTTTTTCATTCATGATTTGTTGTAACTTTACCGGCGTGTTAAGCTGTCTCCAGCCACGTGGCAGGCAAGATGGCGGACGCGGGGGTCCCGGTTGCTTTCTTCTTCTCCTGGCTTTAGAAAAAGCCTTGTAGTCGGGTTGTGAAAGGGCTGATATTTCATTTTGTAGATTATACTTGCCTAAATTCCTTTTTTTTTCAAGGCTTTAGGTAAGTTTTGCTTGAGTGTTTTCGCGGAAATTGGCGTTCACGTGTCGCTCACACATGTTGCTCTTTGTCACCTATGTATTTAATTACGGCAGCTATTATGGCTTTACGCTAGTATTTAATAGCTTTGCTGTAACAGTTAAAATATCGCCGAGGCGTTGTTTTTGTTCTGTTTTGTTGTGTGCATATTATATTATGTATATCGTACAGTCCTTGCTATTATCATAGCGTGGTTCTGTTTTTTGCAGCCCAAGGGGTGTGTCACCTGTAGCGGCAGTTTGTCGCCTCAGGATCGCCACCTGGTTTGCTTACGTTGTTTAGCGGAGGAAGCCCATGACGAAACAAGGTTGTTCTATGTGTCAGGCTTTCTCCCCCCGTACCATCAAGTCCAGACGTGCTGATTACATGTTCTACACGTCCTTACTTCAGGCGGGGGGGGACATTTGGGGTCAGGAGCCGCCTAAAGACAAAGATAAAAAAACAAAGAAAAAGAAGGCTTCGGCTTCCTCTCTTTCGCGGGATGCTCCTAAACGGGCGAAGGGCACGGGGCCTCCGGCTCCTTCACCTGCCATCCCCTCAACATCACAGGCACCTTCCCCCCCTCCTGTCCCTGTTTCTAACCAGCTAACAATTGATTTACTTTCTGATATATTGCAGAAGCAGATGGATTCGGTCCACACTCTCGTGGCTGACGCGATGGCTGGCCTCCGTCAGGAGATTGGCGTCCGACCAGGTACGGGTGTGTGTGCCGGGTCTATGGCGGGCAGTGCTCCCAACCTCAGCTTAGGCTCTGGTGTGGGGGTTTCTGTCGGGGGTGCGTCGGCTCCGAGTTTCGTCTCGGTTGCTGGCCACCCCTCCGCTGTAGTAACTACTACCGGCCCGAGCCTTGGCTCGGGGCCTGGTCCAGTAGTTAGTAGTTTGGCAGTCCCTGTAGTTGCCGCTACTTCGCAATTGGTCCCACCGCTTGCGCCGGCTTGGCCGGGCCATTCGGTGTCTGGATCATTTTGTCTCCCATTGAGGAATCCCAGCACGGGCTCTTCCTCATCACGGCACCGCGACTCAGTCTCGAGTCTTGGGTCGGGTGTGCCGGGCAACCCGGCTCTGCTCGAGCCTTTGTCCCTCTCTGTAGACCCCTCGGATGATCCCTCAGAGCTCTCTCTGGACACAGAGACCTCACTCATTGAGGATCGATTCGAGGAGGCTATGGAGGAGGATGAGGGTCGGGAGGAGTTAGATGCACGCCTTTGGTTTCGCTTCGGTCGGCCCCTGAGGCAGGTACGGGAGCGTATTGCTTCTGTCCTGCCCCAGGTAGTGGTCAGTACTGGCGCACCCGACCCTCAGGAGTTTCGCCTCCCAGGGGAGGCTTTTGCTCCCACCAAGGTGGGGGACACAAGGCTGCGCGATATTACCCTCAGTCTTGTCTGAAGTAATCAACCCCCCTCCTCTGTGGTACCAGGTCCAGGTTCGATTTGCCAGAACTTGACCGCCGGTACCTCATGGGGAGGCTTGCCTCTACAATCCCCCAGTGGTTGACGATTGTGTTTTACGCATCCGTCCGCCCTAGGGGGTTCGTCTGGTAATTCTATGGCTTCAGCCAAGCAAGGTCGCCGGCTTCCGCCGTTCACGACTAACGCTACAGCTTAAATCCGCCCTATCGATCCTTTGAAGAGCAATACGCAATGCGGTTCAATGCCTCAAAGTGACGATCCATTCGCCTACATCTCGGTGTTGCAGAGGCAACTACTGGATGTGGGTGGGGTGGAGGAAGATTCGTCTCCCTCCACCTTGGCTAAGCAATTAACGGAGGTACAGTCACATCTGGCGCGCGATTCTATCAGGTCGTCGGCTTGCCAAATGATGTCGGCGGTGATGGGCCTCCGTCCGCCTGTGGCTTTCGTGGCGAGGTATTAGCCTGCCGCATAACAGGCTCTGCTGGCTGCCATTCGGGATGGGTTCTACCCTGTTCCCCGGGGCAGCTACAGTAGTCCGGGAGGCCGCGGAGGCTGTCTCAACCTTCAAGGACTCTAAGCCCTTGCTGGAACAGCCTCACACGTCTCGCTCGCGGCCCCCGGTTGTCTCCTCCGCATATCCTTCTGCCGCGGCGAAGGAATCTGTTAAATGGGCTCAGCCCTTGCAGTCGTGAGGAGGGTAAAGGGCAGAGGCAGGGGCAAGGGGCAAGGCCACGGCGCCCCACCAGCCTTTTCAGAGGAAGGGGAAGTCAGCCCCGGCTTCCCAGCTATAATTCCTCCGGAGCCCTTGTTGGTACCAGACCAAGCAGTCGGAGTACTGCCAAAGTCAGGTATTCAATGTCTCCTGCCACATATCCCTGTGGGTGGTCGACTTTCCCTCTTCCTGTCGATATGGGAAAAAGTCACGTCCAATCCCTGGGTCCTGTCCACACTCAGGGAAGGCCACATGCCACAGTGGAAGCGAGACCCACCCCCCTTCTCCGGGATCCGTTGCACTCCAGTGCCGGCTGCCCCTAGAAGGCGGAAGTGCTCATGCCCGAGGTCCAGTCGTTTGCTGGACAAGGCAGCCATAGAGGTGGTTCCTGTGGGACAAGAAATGTTGGGTTTTTACTCAACTTATTTCCTTGTCACCAAAAAGGACGGAGGGTTCAGACCTATTCTAAACCTCAAAGGTCTGAACGACATGTTAGAGGTACCGTCCTTCAAGATGGAAACACTGCGCTCGGGTGATTTCGTCTGTGGAGAAGGGAGATTGGCTCACGATCAATCGACCTCAAAGATGCGTGACTTCCATGTCCCTATGCACCCGAGTTCGGAAATACCTAAGGTTTTCCTTCGACGGGAGGTGCTATCAGTTTCGGGTACTCCCCTTCGGCATTTCCACAGCCAAGGGTGTTCACCAAACTCATGCTAATTCCAGCTCAGGTAGCCAGGTCACAGGGCAGGTGCTGTCACCCGCACCTAGACGATTGGCTCCTTAGATGCGCTTGCCACTCACTTGAGTCGAAGTTGCGACACTTGCTGTGATGAGTATTCTCACCAAGTTGGGCTGGATTATCAACCTCAAGAAATCAGAACTGGTTCCCACCCAGGATCTGGTGTTCTTGGGAGCTTAGATTCGAGACAGCTGCAGGGATAGTCTCCCTGTCACGGACCGCGCCACCAAAGTCCAGAGAGTTGTGTTACAATTTCTCGAGTTCCCCAGGGCCTCAGCTCGGACTTGGCTCCAGTTGTTAGGCAACATGGCGGCAACGGTGGACATCGTTTGGCGGAAGCGGTTGAGGATGCGACCCATTCAGCAGGCTCTAGCTCGAATGTGGGTCCACACCCAGGGTTACGAAGTTGATTCTCCACACTCCAGGGTGGCTAATTCCTCATTTACGGTGGTGGACACTGGCAGGGAATTTATCCAAGGGGCTCCTTTGGACATCCCATCGCCAGATCTCTCAATTCAGACGGACGCTTCCCTCACAGGGTGGGGGCGTGCTGGGCTCTGTCGGTCTCAGGCCTGTGGTCACAGAGCGGCGCAACTGCACATCAATGTGCTAGAATTGAGAGCAGTCAGGTTGGTGTTCAAACGACTTCGGGAGCAGGTTCAAGGCCGTGTGGTCCGCCTCGAGATGGACAACCAGGACGGCAATGACCTACATCCTGAAGCAGGGCTGCACGGTTTCCCGTCTCTTCTGCAGGAGGCATGGCAGTTTCTGCTCTGGTGCGACCAGTTCGACATCACGGGTAATGCCTGTTTATCTCCCAGGGCGGACAACGCTTGAGCAGATGCACTCTCTTCGTCAGTATCCTGGCCCCACACGAAGTGGATGCTCCATCGGGGATATTCGGGCTATCTCCCAGTTGTTCGGGTCGTTCCAGGTGG